GGGAGTGCAGTTATCTTGACTTAAAATCTCGTAAATGTTCGTGATGCTAGAGAACACCACCAACACCCTGATATTCTTGCTGTGGAACAACAATGAGAAATATGGATATGACTGGCCAAGTGCTAAATGTCTATCAAGTCAATGATGCATGTCCCATAACGAAACCATGAATTTCATGGTGCAGAACATTAAGGAGAAACATGAATATGACCAGTCAAGTGCAAAATGTCTATCGAGTCAATGATGCATGTCCCATCTGACCTAGGATGAATTAATTTGAACTCTCCTCTACCTTTCTTAAAGAACCATCAAGAAAATCTCTTTAAAAAGATGGAAGAATCAGAATAGAGCAAAAAGGAAACATCTCTGCAAAAAAACATAAAAGAACAGGAACAGAACAAAAACACTCACCACCTAAAATTTAGCAGTTTGACATGGACTGTATCGTTTTTCACTCCACAAAGGTGTATTGGTCACAAAATGCAAAACAAAATGAGTGCCTAATTTAGTTTGCCCCATTCAGATTGCAGAAATGTTATGTATGTATTTTCTTTATCTTCTAACGAAATAAGAATAGTATGCATGATATGAAGAATCAGAACAGCATGAGATGACAAAGAGTGAAGAACTTACTCAATGCAGCATCATGGTCATTAAAGGTTGTCTCCAGGAGTTTGTGAAGTGAAATGCAGTCTTTCAGTTTCCATGTACTATCAGCTCCTCGGTCTCCATCTCTAATAATTTGGAGAGAAGTTAAAACAGAACCCTTAAAGTTTTGATAACAGAGAGAGCTATGTGATAGACTGCTAATTAATTTCCAGTACTGCAAGTCCTTACAAAGAAACAAGATCATTAACCGAGTCTTCAATTAACTTGACAGCCTCAGCCTTCTTGTTTGGTTCCAGAACATACATCAACTCAGCCACTGCAGCCCTGTGCATCAATGATTCTGCACACATACAACAAAGAAAGTCATTCTTTTGCTTGGAACTGGAACATGGACCGAGAATGACAAATCCATTAATGCCAGCCGAAAATGGACCTCGATGCTTTTCAAGGAAAATATTGTTTGCATCAATTAGAGATTTCTCGTGCAACTGACTGAAAAAGCCAAAAGAAACAAATAGGTAACTCAGTCTAATAACAAGGATAAATCACTGTGTAATTAATGAATATCTAAAACGTTAAAGATAGACAGAAAGTGGATGGTTCAAGGGAACCTAAAGGTAGGTCGCTCGACTTCTAAGACACGGCACACAAGTTTTTCAGCGTCAGTTACTGGAGTAGGCAATGCTCCTACTTTATGGAAGAATTTTATCTGCAAGAGATCACATTCTATATCAAGAAAGATGTAGAATCCTGAGAGTTGCAAAGAGTTCAACAAGAATTTGAACCCAGTGCAAACAGTTGGCGAGGCAAACGAATATAATCTACACTACTGCAGAATATATTATTCAAAAGTCTTAAACAAGGTAAACATACCAAGCAGAGATGAGATTTTGGATTATCTGCATCCAACCTCACCAGATGCTTTACAGCCTGGAAAAGATAAAAATCAAAGAGAATGTTTATAAATGGTCATACAGAAAGGAAAGGGAGAATCCTGATAGAGCATTAGATATATAATTACACCAGAAAAAAGAAAAGGGCGGTAATTCAAGAAGTCCGCTAAAATGCACTGGAACCAGTACCCGGCGAAGATATACCATACAAAATGATATATAAATGGATAGAAATTTGAGCAAAATGGAAGAGGAACTTTTCTAACTGTTGAGTTACAAAGGATCTTACCTGCAAGGCAAGCAAGATTTTATGTTTCCTCATGTTTACTTCAAAGGACAGTAAATGTGTCTCCAGGCAATCAGACGAGTGCGTAAGGAGCAGCTTCAGGTACTTCGTAGCCTTGGCCAGAGGATCTTCAATCTGAAGGTTTCTCGATATTGAGAAGATTTTATTCAATCAAAATATGCAAAATTTGGAATAGCCTCAAATTAATAAAGATTTGTTCCACTCATTTTATTGGAAACACTTGGTTTTCTGGAATAGACTCCAAATATTTAACATCACCTCACAGATATACGATGTTAACCACTCAGTTTCATGAACTCAATTTTCATGGAAAGTACAAATTCAAATGGTGATGGAGTTATTCCTCAGCATACTAGACTCCATATAAAATCATTTCGAGTGTCTTCAAACATCACTAGGGTCATACAGTACTACTTATTTTAGTCATATTGTGCATATATCAGACAGGAGTTTATGAAGTCCAAATTCACCATGCATACAAGATGTGACAGCACGTTACAAACAAAAAGTACCTGAGCCAATTTTTCACCATGTGGATCAGGATCTACAGGCTTCAACTGGCGCTTCCCCGATTTTGCAAAGCTAGTGGAACTTGATTCCTCATTTTTAACTTCTGCATCCTAAAAGCATGCAAAAGACTAAGTCACTTCACACTAAGTTAATTTTCCAAAAGCAATAGGAAGCAGATTTGATTACTTTCTTAGCTCGGGCCTCCGCTTTCCTCAATTTTTGCCTTAATTTCTTCTTTTGAGAGGCAGGCAACTTAGACATCTCGTCATCTTCTTCAGCTGCTGACTTTGGAGGACAATCATACAGCCTCAGGTAACATCTAATTACAAGCAAAAGGATGCCCAAGGAAACATAATATGCTTCAGTCAGAGAAACGTTCAGTAAACTAGCCGACAATCTAGGACAAAACATTCAGTTATCGGATTAGCAAATGTCTATCCAAACACAAGTTTCAAAGGAAGATAACAAAATAGCTGAATCAAGGTCAATAACAACTGAATCAAGGTTGCCCAAGGAAACATAATAAGCTTCAGTCACAGAAACGTTAAGTGAGCTAGTAGACCACCGAGGACAAAATGTGTATGCTGAGCAGAATCGCTCCAGTAATCAGATTGGCAAATGTCTTTCATAGGAATACTTCATAAGTTTCAAGGGAAGATAGCAAAACAGCTGAATCAAGGTCAATAATAGCAGAACAAATTTAAAATCCAAGGTTCCTGAAGATCCAAACCTCTGACAATTTTAGCGAAGTCAAAATCAGTACCTGATAGCACCACTTGCTGCTTTGCGAAAATAAGCATGTGAATGGAGCCGATCTTGAAGTTTCAGCATTTCCACATACATGCGTAGTGTCATTTTCCTTAAGCAATAAGAATGAAAATCAAATTGGTCCTCTGTGATATCTGCATAATGCTTTTCCACTGCCAGAAATTTCTTTAAGGCCCGTCCAAGCTCGCCTTGGCGCAGATAACTTTCCCCAGATGCCAGTTCATACCTTTTCAAATATTCATCAAACAAAAGCTGCTAAAAGGATCCCAAACCCAAGCAGATCATGATCAAGCTTTGTGAAGAGACTTACCACATGCACTGCATATCGTAAAGGTTGTTGTGTTGATCCCCATCTTTTGTGAATAATAAAGCCGTCTTTTCAGCCAATGCTACCTTCAAAGACATTCAGCATAAAGAAGTGAAAAGACAAATTTAGGAAAATGCATAGGAATTGAAAATTACCAGCAACTATTAGAGAGATTAAATTAAAGAAAACGAACATAACAAAGCTTTGTACCTGGTCGGCCTGAAGCATACGCTTAACGCATTCACTGTTAATATAGCGATCCGCAAGATCCATACACCTGGCTTCATCAGCCAATGCTGCAGCAGCAGCCAAGTCACCACTATGTTTTACTATGCGGCTCTGTGTCAGAGAGAACCAAAGACAAGTAGAACTTAATCAGACGCATGAAAAGAGGAACTTTTCTTGATAAACTAGTACTTAATAGATAGTATGTGGGTGGATTTTACCAGGGATATTGCCAAATATCAAAGTCAACAAACAAATGGTAACGGCAACAGGAATGAATTATGACAGATTAGAAAATATTTTGATAAGATAGATGAGCAAATATACCTTTACAGAGTATAAATCTATAACAGTAGGAGTGTGTTCTATTGCCTCGTCAATTTTTATAAGAGCAATGTCATACTGTCCACATCTATCATAATGCTGCAACAAGAAAGTTTTCAGCAATAAGGTGAAAAGGAACAAAGAAATGGACATGAAAGCTCTGAATATTTATGGAAGATGTGAGCAAACCTGAGCCAAATAAAATAATATCCACATAAGTGTTGAAGGAGGCTCTTTTCCCTCGCTGCAGCAGGGAGAATAATGTTACATGTAGAGTAGAAGAGTATATTCCAACATATAAATATATAAATAAATGAATCAAAATCACACAGAAACCATAGCATCAAGGTAGGCACTGATTACACCTCATAGAATTCTAAGACTGAATACCCTTAAGTTGATCTCAATGGAATCAAAGAGCATCTAGTTTGATTGCTAGAAGAGACTGAGAGCGTGATACAGGATAAGAAAACCAAATAATCATGCATGAAAAAATAAATAGTAGCTCCTCAAAATTCATTTCTTGAAGTTGTATTGAGAGTGCATTAGTCAAATTTGAGAAATCAGCTCTGATGTTGACGTTTTATTGTGATACAAGCAATTTTATCATGAGAATCAATTTGATTATGGTGATTGTAAGTTTAAAACAAACAAATTAACATACACATATGAACACATATATGTAAGCATATATGAAAGCATATATATATCATCTCTTAGCCTGAAACTAGCAAAAAATGAATTATTTATTGCAGCTCTTTAAAGTAAAAATGTAACCTGAATCTACCTAGTAATAAGAAACCTATAAACTAGCAACTGTCAAACCCTGAACTGGTCCCAAGAAGGTCAAGGTAGTGCAAGAAGAAAAGCAAACGAGAACTTCTTACTGATCATAAGATAAAGGAAATCAACTCATGGTAAATGGTTTATTCGGTTTGACCAGCAGTTTGGTCAAGCCTATTGTGAGTTTAAGTGACATGCAATAAGTGCAACATGCATCGGTAAGTACAGAAAGACTTTGCTTACCTCTCGGGATATCCACCAGTAGACTTAATTGACTGCTCCAACCTCAGAACCAATTCACCTAGAATACTGGCCTGTAACAGATACGCAAATAATTTCAAACACCAAAATAAGCAGGAACATACTAAACCCATGCATCCCCCGTAATAGTACATGAAGGAAGATATAAGCTAACCTTGCCAGGGTGATTGTACAATGGATAAAGATCAGAAAACAACGAAGGAACACCCTAGATATTCATCACCAAAAGACATGTCAGCTTAGCTCTAAAGACCACGGAGACCAAAAAGTATTTTAGCCAGTAAGTACCTTTGCTACAAGAGGTCGAATATAATTCGCTGCTGCCTCCCGAAACTTGTCATCTCTGAGAAAATCAAGTGGAATTCTCTGAAAGAAATAGGAAAAGAAAGTTCACTGCGGATGCTTATGATATTTCCACAAGATAGCAAAAGGTAAGAAGAATGGTGATAGACTAGTAATAAAATGTTTGCATGTCAAGTCGCTGAAGACAGAAACAGGAAATCTGTTAATGTCCTTTTAACATTTTAAAAAGGAAAAACAGTAATCATGAGAGAGTATAGCTTATACTTTAACCGTAATAAGGTCCAAAGAGACAACAAAGCAAGGTAACAAGATCAGCCATCACAAAAATATACAGTACTTTGCTGACAGCAAATATAACTAAGGAACTTCCTTAAAACGAATTGACAGGATATGGAAAAGAAAAATAGCCACTGCCCAACAATCATTGGCAACAGGATCAATTCAAAAATTATTGGACAGAGCTAGACAGCTATTATCTTGAGAGTAGGCAGGATAAAGCACACGTTACCTTTACGGCAGATGATCTACTATATTGCTGGGCAAGTGACTTGTACAAAGATTCTAACTTATCAATTTCATCAGAACTATACTGCCCTTTTTCAGAATGCAGTCCCAGACATCTTTGTAACCCCTCGTAGTATCTGAAAGTTAAAAGAAAGAACATATTACAAGGTAACTTGAAGTTAAAAGAAGAAAATAACTATATAACAAGTTTCTTAAACACATTGTTTGAGAACTGGACCTTGAATCATTAGCCGAAACAACCTAACCAAATTCCACATTATTTTGGTTACTTTGATCTCCACTTACAAAGGACAAAAAGACACAACAAGACAAATCAAACACTTTGAATGGAAGTAAACAAAGAGAACATTACATAGAGGGTTCTGAAGGAATTAACACCCCCCATCCAGAGACTCAAGATGAATTGCCTACTTTTGTTTTATTTTTGGTGCAAAGGTGAGTTTGTAAATGACATAGAATCTCTGTTGGGCATTATAGAATCTCCGTAAGAAGAACAAAGATTTACTCTTGGGGTTTTTTGCTTTTTGTAAGTTGTAAAGATGGCTCTTGATGGTAGGCTAGAAATATGAATTTTTGGCTTTACCTCACCTATTATTTGCTATATTTTAATCGTGTTTGAGCTTAAAAAGTAAAGAATTTATACTAATTAGGTGTTTCTTATGTGTAGGAGCAAGTTTGGATGAAAGTTGATCAAAAGATGACGAGTTGAACGCAAACCAGGAAGTGAAGAAGTAAGAGAAATAATGGAAGCTGTTGAGACGTGGAACATGTACATTCAACGGTGGCTTCACTGTTACTAGATGTAAAATTGCAAGTCACTTTGGTGGGACCAATAATTATGTCATGATGAAGCACAAGGAAAGAGATATAGACTAATAATGGAAGACAAGTACAAAGAATTGGAAAGGATTGAGCTTTCGATTTAAAACTCCAAAGGCTATAACGTGAGGCGGAAACGAATCAGAGAAAGCAGCAGCAGAGCTTGACATTGGACAAGCCTCTGATAAGTCTCACAGGCGCGGGTGCGCCGCGTCTGTGCATTTTTGTCAGTGTATTCTCCTACTTTGGCTGAGAGAGGGTAGTTTCGTTCGGGCCCGTTCCTACTTGGTATAAATACACTGAAAACACGTTTTTGAAGGCACTTTTGATCTACGAAAGATTTGGGAAGCAGCTAAAGCAAGAAGACACGAGATTTCATCAAGATTTCAACCAACGATCGGTGCAATACGGGAGTTTGTATCGAATCATATCATTGATGTTTTCTATGTCTTTAAACCTTATTGAGATGATTTTTTCCATTGCTATGGAGTAGTTTTCCGTTAGGGTGTTGACAGATATAGTGTATTGATAATTTGATTAGGGATTCGATTCTTGACAATTGTTTGGCTTAATTGATGGAGTTCTGAATTATATTGTGAAGTCGTTCATTATTTTCCTTAATCGAAAGAGGAGTTTCATATTGAATTTCTTTACAACTTAAGCTCTAGTTTAAATTCGTGATTCAACTAGGTAATCGGAAGATCCTTTTGAATTATTAATCGATGTGGAAAATAGGAAAATATTCGTGAGAAGTTACTCTTTAGACTAAAATCATCATTATGTTCATAGCAAGTATTTACAGTGCTTCAATTGGATTATTTCTGGGGTTTAATAAACAGGAACCTTAACTTCAAGTGTAATCTAATTATCTGGTGAATTCGCGAGAATCAACAGTATTATAGAGTGAACTCCTTCAAGAATTGGATCCCGAGTCAAGTGTCTTGCACCTATCTAGTCAATTACCCTTATTTCTCTTACTGATATTTTTGTGTTGCTCAACTCTTGTCTTCCGTGATCAATTGATAATTGCTTAAATTTTACTAGTAGTTACTTATAGTTGATAATCATTCCAATCAAGTGTTAATTTTCTTGAATAGTAATTAACTGAAGATTATTCGAACACTATTCAAATCCAATCCATGTGGAGACCATAATTAAGCTATACTTTCTTTGACTAGCGAGTAATAATTTTGTGTTGTGTTTTGCGCTCGTCAGCTCTTAGCATAGCCTTTGTGCTAATTATTCAATTAAAACGGTTATCTTTCTCAAAAAAAAAAAAAACTTACATACACAGAAATGTGAAAACTCGAGTTCATTCTTATCATTTTGCATTAAACAACAGAAAACTAAATTATGAAGACTCCTACTTATCAGAATTTACAGGAAAGAGCACCAAAATGAATACTGATTTATTAACCAAAGAACGACCTAATCCTAGAATAAGCGAAAAGATGTGCACACAGAGAAATTACAGGTTACCTGTAAAAATGATTTTATAATTATATACAGCATCACCGAAACGTCTCAGTAATTTATGACAAACAAACTGAGATAATAATGCACCTGTAATTGTCAGGATTCATTGAGAGCAGCACTCTGAATAATCTTTCACCTTCTTCAAAGCGGCCAAGCTTCAAAAGAAGTGAAACCTCTTGCTCCTTGTAGCCCAATTTGTCAACCTATTGTGGCATAATAAAGTCAACATCCGGGTGTAACTTCAAACTGATTTCTTTAAGACTGCATTATATGAACTTACAATCTTAGACTCTTTCTTGTGCAACTCTTCAAGGGCCCTCTCAAGAAAACCATATTCCTCCAACAGAGAGATCTGAAACAGATTACAACCAAGTGAAGTTGAAACTTTCAGAACAAAAATAAGATAATTTTTAAGGCAGTTGATAACAAAGTGCTCCAAAAACAAAAGGCATTCATTGGTCTAACTTGCAAAATGCATAAATCACCATATAAAGTAGTAATTTGTTTCACATATTAAAGAGTTGAAAAGCAATTGTAATTAAATTGAAATAAGACCACTGAAGTCCGGCTTAAATAGGCATAACCTGACGAAAATGAGTTCAAAACCCAAATTCTACTTATATCCTCAAGCAGGACGCAGAAATGTCAAAATCGGGAAGATCTAAGAAATTAGTTCCTTGTGGGTGTTTAAGTAAAGCAAGTGAATGGTTTTTCATGTTTAATTTCAAAGCTATGCATAGCAGCTTTTATCCGAAAACATTTTACAGGAGCTGAGGGCCTTTCAGGTTTTTTGAATAGAACTATATCAGAAACAAGGAAACAACCATTTATCCAGAGTCAGTTTTTATTGATTAATTATGTATCTCAGGGTCAGGCTTTCGGAATGTGTTGCTAAACTAGCACTACAATGATCCAAAATAAAAAGAACCAGATGTGTTGGTTGCAGGAAAAACCTTCAGCTTGCTGACAGTATGGCGCTGGAAAGCACCATCCCGAAAAACTACTCTCATGAGATTCCAGCTCATTTTGGGCAGTAATAAAATAAAAGTACATTAACCTTACTGGAAATTTTAAGCCTCAAGGTACAAAACCTAGGTGGTATCGAGCAGCAGAACAGCACTGGTATATGTACAACTGTCATTGCACTAATCAAACACACTTCCCAAATAAATGAAAAAATTAGCAAGAACAAAATCACCAGAAGCATGAGATAGATACTCCCAGCAGATTGTTACCTTGTATAGAAGCATCTCCCCATGTTCACAACGTTCATTTTCTGGAGGATAATCATCTTCAAGAGTCCCTTCATATGCCTCAAGGATATCAACAGCTTTTGATCCACTAACATACAACAAAATGAAATGCGGGTTGATGTTAGAAGTCAATGTTACTTTTTGAAATGCAACATTCATTATAAAACAGTCAAACAAAAAGATAAAGTACCATTACCACCAGCACAGGACAATTGTATGCAACTAAGCATATTCAGTCAAGGGAACAGCAACAGAAAATCACATGAAAGAATAGCCTAACTCTATTTTAAATACAATAAACACGAGTTTGATCGCACAATATCTTCACATTGTTCCATTAGAATATACCAAACTTCGATTCTTGTGATGCCTCTCAGCAATTAATAATAGTTCTATTTACTGTTTCTCAACTCAAGAAGCTGGTTATTACTAGGAAAGCATGCCATTAGCGCTTCGAGAGACTACATAACAAGGACAAAAGCCATGCATCTTCAAATTTCACGAAACCTAAGAGTTAACTTTTCTGTTCTACTGAGTAAACAAATATTACCTCATTTGCTTTTCTGTTCTACTGAAGTAAGCAGATAATACAACTTTTGCTCCTGTTCGCTCACCCAAGACCCCCCTCCTCCCTAAATCACTGAAGTAAACAAATATTTCTGTTCTACTGAAGTAAACTAATCTTATCCTAAACATTTGCAATGTGTTACTATGGCCAACAACCATAGTTGAAAAAAAGGGAAAAGAAATGACAAAAAGAACTAAGGAGTCAGCCAACAATCAGTCATACTCTATTTCAACTGCAAACTAAATCAAATTCCCCAATATGGATGTCCCACATCTCACACACATAAATAACTGCGTAATGCAGCAGTTCTGCAACTCCTCAACTAGATTTGCATCCGACATCAATATAGAGAATCGCCAGGAGAAAAACACACATCTACCAGTTGTACTAGCTATTTCCATAATAGTAGAGCAAGTTACTTGGAGTTTAAATGATGAGAAACAGCAAAGCCAATCCAATTCATGCGATGATTTGGTTTCAAAGTGAGTAGTTGCTGTCTCGTTTCAACAAAACCTGACAAGTCACGCATTTGTGCCTGTAAAGAATACTCATAACCCATAAGTTGGACAAAGAAGCACGCCAATGGAAAATGAAAACAAAACATAATGAACGTGACAGAAGTAAAATAACAGAGCTGCTACACTATACAAGAAAAGCTCTTGCTCACCAATCTAACAAAATTTTTAGATGCTAACCATGCAAAAAACGCTTTGGCGTAGAAAATCATGATATCAAGGACCCGGAGCAATTGAAGCAAACATTACAACAGCATAGGAGGAACCTTTAATGCCAGGGTTGCAGCTTAATTTGGAATGCCAAAAGTTACTGGGATCATCGGATCCATGACATAAGAAGCATTAAGCAAGTGATCCAAGAGAATATACCACACGAATGTCACATGATGAAATATAATACAGCTTTAAGCACGGAACACAAGAAAAAGGAGTTGCATGAATGCTACAGACAATATAACTTTATGAGCATAAGCAACCCTCTTAATCCACTTGCTGATGAAGGGTATACAGTGACAGTGCCATCCAATGCTCCAGATACACATCAGCGATGAGACTAACGATAAATGTGCTCTAATTGTATGTGCAAGCTCAAAACCAGACAAAAGAAAAGGTTAAGCGGAAACTAAGGCAAACTCTTTATTCGCCTCCTTTTTATATGAAAGCTTCTTATGAATTCTTGTGACTTGCTCATTGGGGAGCAGCTATTTAACGACAGTTTAAGATATGCGATTGAGACGCAATATAACTCTAATCTTTAGCAACCATGGTATGAGGCTTAGCCTGATGACCCTAAATGAAAAACATCTTAAGTGCAGGCAAATTCTCAGAAGGGAAAGAAGAATGTTATTAAGATGAGTCCAACCTGTAAAAGAGATAGGTCACGTAATATCTCAATGTTGTCCGGATCAATTCTAAGGGCATTGCGGTAGCACTTAATTGCTTCACGGTACTCTCTATCAGACCGGTAGAGTAGACCATAAACATGCCAACAAACATGACTCTTAAGGTCATTCTGCAAAGAGAAGGGCAGTTAACCCTGATATACATAACACATAACAGTAGAAGTTAAACTAGGAACGTTCCATTCCTAAGAGAAAAAAGGGAACTAAATTAACTCTACCTTCAATCCAAGCCGGACAAGTTCATATGCTTCGGATTTGCGGTCCATGCAATTCAGCGTTAATCCTTTCATTGCTAGAGTTTCTGTAACCAGATCATTAAGAAAAATGACAGCAAACAACTTAGAAAGTCTCAGAAAAAAGGACAGTCATTAAGATACAAGAATACAAGAACTAATGCTACTTTACTCAAGCTCATCCTGATTACTTCACATCCAGCAGAAAAATGGTCTTAAAGTGAGTTTGAAGAACTGATCTAAAATATACAAGGATAAATTTCATTTGGCATGCATATCGCCTATGGTTTCATATATATTTTGTTATCCATCATACTTATCAGGGAAAAGTAAGGTCGCAATACTTCATCTATTTACAGATTACAAATTAACTTGCCAAGGACCAATTAAAAATGGAAACGGTTGTTATTCAGGAATACCCTTGCCAATTGGAGTTTTGAGCGCAGCTTAAAGCCTTTTACACAATACATATGTTTGATTATAAATCAAATTACTGAATATGCAAAAGCATTCAAAAGATAATGTAGATTCATTGTCAATCAAAATAAATAGAAGGAAAGAAAAGGCAAAGAACACATGTTTGAATGCAGCAATAGAATTCAAAGAGTTAGCCGTATCATATTTGAATGCGGAAATAGAGATCCAGAGATTAGTTCATCTCCCACACTCAGCCTTTGGTTTTACTCCATAATCTCCTCTTGATTAAGGAAACTAACTCAGTCCCACTATAAGAAGCAATGCAACTAAACTATCTGTAGGTAACATACTAGCCGTGGAATATCAAGCCAACCTTGACATAGCCACAGCAGTTCAGACTAGAAGATTTGACTATAACTAGTTATGCATTTATTGGCTCCAATAATACAAGGAAGTGGAGGCTGTTGATTGTGTCCCTCCATCACCTTGATATCATTGACGCAAGGAAAAGAAGAGGAAACTGCAGCACTCAATTAAGTTATCTTGATAGGGTTTTATATTTGTTACCAAAAGAAACTCGTCAGCTTCTCCCAGACAGTGATTCATGTATCACTGCTTTCAGGCACTTCCACTACGAAAAGAATGCAATACTTCATGAAGCAAGTAACTCAATCTATCAACCCTAACATGGTACACATTGGCTTTTACAGTTGAAGGATATATATATATAAAAAAAAAATAGCAAAACCAAACAAACTGATATTTCTATCTAACATTTTATGATTTTTAATCCAGATGTGCACCAAGTAGAATTGTACATACCTCCATGGTCAGGAAATTTCTTGAGAACAGTGTCAGCAGCTTTCAGACCTTTCTTATACTGCTTTGTCTCATACGATTTCTGTAGCAATTGAGAAATTCGACTCCAAATTAGTCATATTTTGGCCATTCAGTAATCACGAAATTAGAAGGGAAAAAAAAGGTTGGACATTGTAATATGTACACAAGTCATAATGATTTAACTGGAATATTTCATGTTAATGTTAGTCATATGATTTAGTACGAAAAAGATTATATGTCAAATCTTACTATATAAAGGAAGTATTCCTTCCGTCACAACCCAAAAAAAAAGACTGGATTTAGGATACAAGTCAAAACATCTAACTTTCTGTGTGATTTTTTTCTGATGGTAAGAAAAAAGTTTTATTAATCAAAAGTAGCCTAAGCTTGTGCTCTGAAATTATAACAGGCGAAAATTCAGTTCCTATCTAGACTAGGTGAAGTAACAGGAAATCTTGTATGCTATCTACATCAGATACAATTGCATTTTACACTGAAATGTCAATAGAGAAACACTAAATTTTAGCTGGTTTACGTTCTCCTTCTCACTCTTAAACATTTCTGATTCCTTCCCTTCCAAAATTACTCAGCATACACAAGCAAATATTCTCTCTCTGCCTTTATAGGGTAGGGATAAGGCTGCGTACACACTACCCTCCCCAGACCCCACGTATGGGTCTGGGTTTGTTATTGTTGTTGTTGTACACAAGCAAATATTCTCTCCTTTTTCCAATTTTTAACATGAATTCGGACAAGGACTCCTAACTTTGGAGATAAAAGTATATGTTTGAAAACCACATGCAAAAGTACTATCTAATCACATTTTTACACTAAATATATTTAAAAATAATTAAAAAGGTTGGTTTTTGTCAATATAGATCCTCTATATATTCTTGATAAGGTATACATACCCTATTTATTCGGCTATATTATAAATTAATTCATTACAATATTGGTGATTAATCTGTTGTTCAGGAGTTCTTTAAATCTCAAGCTTATAGCTACCCGTACTTAATGTAAATCTAACAAGTAACAACAACTAAACCTTAATCCTAACTTGCTGTCAAGTCTAGAAACTGTAGGTCTTTCTACTTAGCCAGAACAAGAAAGAAAAAAAAAAGGATGTAGATCTTTTGAAATAACTTCCCTCCAATGTGATTTTCAAGTCTACTTTGTTCCCTTTTATCACCTTCAATCATCAATTCATACTATCTCACCTACTAATTGGCATAATTGAAGGTCTACGCCGAACATGGTGAAACCATCTCAAGTGATGTTTGTCCTCTATGTGTGTGACTTGCACGCTGTCTGATGTGAACATTTATAACCTTGTCCAATCATCACGACCGCACATCCATCTTAAATTCGCATTACGACCAATCCTTCTAGCAAAAATTAGCACCTATTCTAGATCACCAGGCACAAAAGTGAACTGGCTTTTGATGAATGTCCCTGGTATATGCTTTCATACTTTTGCCTAAAGTTTCATTTTATGACTCTTGAGTTTAGCACCACTATAGTTTGCATAACTTTAAAAATATATCCCCTTTATTCTTATGTTCTAATCTTCATACTTTTCGTGTCATCATTTACTCTTTTACTGTAATATGAAAACGAAACACCACCTTATCCAGGCGTCAAAAATGGTTGTTTCCCTCTTTACTCCCTTGATGATTTGTAATCTCGTGGTTGAGAGCGAAAAGGTCTTTCAATTGGAACAGCTTCTTTTTCACACATCTAACTCCACGAATATAGCTAAGGTTTTGTCCTTATATATACATATATTTCGTCTATCCCGGATGTATTAGAATTGGTAAAAAAAATCACCAACACTTGTATTGAGAAATTAATCAAAATAGCCTCTCAATCTCTCTTTGATCTCTATCTCTTTTTTATTTTAATAAGGTTGATCTCAGCTATCTCCTGTCAAAACTTATTAAGAATATTCCTTAGTACACTTAACTTAGTTTAGTGCTAGCTAATACATTTTCTTTCTTCCCTTTCCGCATCCGTGGCTAATACATTTTCTTTCTTCCCTTTCCGCATCCGTAACTTTTGGTACAAGTCGTCTAAGATAGTCCAACTTTGTGAATCGCCTTCTTTTGTTGGTAGTAACTTCATATTCCACTCTCTTTTTTGTTGAGTAGTTCTGCGCTAACTCCTCATTCCACAACCATGCATGTGGTTCTAGGCCTCAAGACACACCTTGAGCTTCATTTGTTACTTCTTAATGCAACTTATAAATTTCTTGGATGGATAAAGGAGGAGTATTGTGGTAGGTTGACAGTTAGCATGAAAGGAGTCAATTTATCATGAATCCTCATAGTAATGACATGCCTAGTCAGTATAGTAGAGATTCCTCCCAAAAAGGTATGTTGGACCAAATGAATCCATATTTGTCCCTAATTTAGCATTGCAACTCAAATGCTTCCTGCTCTTAAAAAGTCAGAATTCAATAAACAGCATCAATAGATACAAATGCAATCGTCATAGTAAAACAGCCACTGAAGTAATTTAGCATAAAAACTAGATTTTTAACTGGAAGTAATACAAAGGAATTGAATTAAAGTGAATACGACCTACAAGCCTCCATTAAAAAACAATTTTTTTTGTGAGAGAATCGAAGAACTTACAACGATGAGTTTGAAGAGGTTGGCCTCTTTAGGAGGAAGCGAAGCACCCATTGTTGAACAGCGAAGGTTCTAGAGAGTGAGACTGAATTGAGAAAGTAGAACGGAGATGGTGGCGTTTATCTGCTGCAACCCTACTGAGAGAGAGATATAGTCAAGTTGCAGCTCTCGGGCTTGGTAGGGAAGTCCGCAGGGGGTATTTGAGTAATTGCGGTATTTACCTCTTGGGAGAATTTACTTTACAATTTTACACTAGTTTGGAAGTTCAGGGTGAGCACCCTCCACTTCTAATCAAGAGGTCGTGAATTCGATTCACCCCAAGAGCAAGGTGGGTAGTTCTTGGAGGGAGGGAGCCGAGGGTCTATCGGAAATAGCCTCTCTATCATAGGGTAGGGGTAAGGTCTGCGTACAAACTAACATCCCCAGACCCTACTAGTGGGATTATACTTGGTTGTTGTTGTTATTGTTGTACTCTAACGGTGGCATGTGGGCCGGTTAGGACCGGGATCGGCCCAGGACCGCAAGCTCAAATGGGCGGTGGGCCTAAACGGTCCTAACTGAATAGGACCGGGACCGTGGAGAGGTGGGCTAGGTAGTGGGCCGGTCCTATAGGGAGGCTCGCGAGACCGGGACCGTTTGGGACCGGGACCGGCTGAGAAGTGGGTCGATTCAAGCGGTCCTAAACGGGCCTATCCGGGCCCAACGGATAATTTTTAAAAAGAAAAAAGAAATTGACCGTTTGGCCATTTAAAAACTAGCCGTTTGGTCTACCAAAATAGTCATTTAACCCCCCAAACTTTGTTTTAATCCCAAACTTTTTATAATTATACTTTTTCCCTATTTTCAACTATAAATACCCCCTCATTCTTTTATTTTTCTCACAAAATCATCAATCTCTCTATAATATTCTTCTATAATTGCTTACTTAATTGTTACATTTTGTGCAAAATTGTGAAGTTGGTGAATTGAAGTATTCGAGTCTTCAAGCCTTCAACGATAATTAATTTTCAACAAGTTGTTCGTCAATTCAGTAAACTCGTTCCAACTCTTAAGTTTTAATATTATAGTTTTGTTTGTTTTATTTACTTTGCTTGATTAATTAAGATGGCTTATTCCTTAAAAAAAATATTTCGTAAAAATAAGGAAAAATCCAAGAGTGGTGAATCTAGTGGCCAATCTGTTCCTCCTCCACTTCCCCGGCTCCCCGACCCAAACCTGTTACCCATCCTACACCTCCTATTCTTGATAGCGATAATAGTTTATTACAATTTACCGAGAGTCAATTTTGCCATAATATTGCACCCGGTGAACAATTAAACCATGAATATATGAATGTTCTTTATGGTAATCCAACTATTGATGAAAATTATGATGAAGAAATAGATTTTGATGAAATGCAACCGGATGACGATACACCCACTAGTCTTGCTCCTGAAGTTAACCCAACTAATAATAATCCAAATGATGCCCCGTCTGACCCTTCTGTTATTGCCCCTACTTTTTCTAGACAACCTTCTAAATTGGCAGAAACATCTCTTGTTTGGCCATTTTTTACTAAACTAAGAGAAAAAAATAGGGCTAAGTGTAAAACTTGTGGCAAAGAGTTAGTTTTTAAATATGTTGGAAGTCGGGGGGACGGGGAGTTTAACTAGACACATATTGCTACACCCTCAAGATAAAGCTAGATATTTTCGTATGAAAGCTTTGGCCGAGGGGACAAGTGCACCTAGTCAGGCTGACCTTAGTACCGGGTCAAATCAATTTCAACCGGGAATTAACACTGTTACCGGTGATATTTTATATTATGATCCAAAAAAAGATCGGGAAGAATTGGCAAACATGGTTACTGTTATGTGCTTACCCTATAGTTTTTCTTTTAACCCTCACTTTGTGCATTATATTAGAAAAGTTTATAATCCTACTTATAAAGTTTTTCCTCGCACAACCATAAAGAGCGATATTTATAAATATAAACATGAATATGAACAATATTTGCGCTATTTATTTACTCATATAAATTATCGTGTTGCTATTACAACTGATATTGGTAGAAGTGGTAATGATTGTGATTACCTTACTGTTACCAGACATTGGATTGATGAGGATTGGATAATGCAAAAGCGTATTATTACTTATAGAATAATTAATTCACGTCACACAGGGCAGTTTATTTCTAGCACGATTACGGATATTTGTAGATATTTTTGCGTTAATGATAAAATAATGTTAGTTTCAATAGATAATGCTACTAGTAACACAAATGATGTAGCCTTGCTTACCACTACACTAAGTCCTGCATTTAGTAATATTTTTCATGCTAGATGTATTTGTCATAGTTACCATTTAATTGCGGGTGATAGTATGCGAATTTTAAATGTTGAAATTGAAAAGGTTAAAATGGCTCTTAATTGGCTTTTTTATTCAAACCGTAGAAGTAGACTTAGAGAATATTTTAAAAGATGCGATGAATTTGGCCTAAGAGAAAGAAAGGTTCCTAAACCTTGTCCGACTAGATGGAATTACATGTATAAAAGTTTAGATGTTGCATATGAATATAGAAATCCCATAAACTCAACGTTTAATGCTCATGTAAGTGATGATGATGAGCACCTTACAAATGCAGATTGAGCTAATGTTAAAATGCTTGTAGATTTTTTAGAAAAATTTCATATTGCTACAAATAAATTTTCTGGGCAATATTATCCTACTATTTCTAACTGTTTAGTTTATATTGCAAGACTTGCAAATTTATTTGATCATTTTTCAGAGGGTGGAGAAATTTATCAACTTGCTATTGATTCTATGAGAAAAAAGTTTAAAAAATATTTTTTCCCTATTCCCCCTATTTACGGTGTTGCTGCATTGTTAAATCCTACTATGAAATTAGGAGGTCCTCAATTTTGGTATGAACTGTTTATAATGGTTTAGCACTTGAAGATGAGGAGTTGTCTAAACTTCCGGACGCAATAGCCTCAATTAAAATAATTGTTCAAACAATTTATAATGCTTATCAAGTTGCATTAGATCATGCTAGACCAAACGTTCCAACTCCTTATTCTTCTAGTTCTCAATCATCTAAAAGAACTGCGTGAGTAAGAGCACTTAGTGCTTGGGCAGGGTTCAGGGTTCTCAAGGTTCTAGTACTAGTGATTTTTCACAACTAAATGAGCTTGAAATTTATTTGCCACAGTGAATTAAGGAAGTGAATCCCGATGGCTCCTTTAATATTTTGGAATGGTGGAAGGACAAAGAAAAATACTTTTCGATTCTTTCAAGGATGACCCGAGATATTTTAACTATTCAAGCTTCAACGGTGGCATCAGAGACCGCTTTCAGTCAAGCAAGACTTCAGCTCGGTGATTATAGAGTGTCTATGAGGGAGAGCTTGGAAAAATTAGTACTTTTCAGAGATTGGATCCGTTTGGAAAGAAGAAATTTTGGACTTGCTGAATTACAACAAGAGGTAGACGAAACTTAGGAAGAAATGCTAGCTGAACTTGCGAAGGATGATGCTTCGCCTGGAAACGGTGATGACCAAGCTTCTTTTCCGCCACCACCAACGAAAATTCCTCCGGACCTTGAAGGATTTATGAAATTTGTAAGGGATACCATGTAAATTAATATGTAACTTGTATTGTGGCACATCTTGATTAGTTTCTTTTTCTTCTCAATTATGGTATTAGCACCTTGCTGTGCTCATTCCATAGGGGGAGGAAGACCAAGAAAGATATTGCCATAATTATTTAATGTTATAATAAAATTATAAAGCATTGCTTTGAATATCTCTTTAAAATATTTTTGTCTTTTTATATATCTTAAGCTGTATATATAGTATAATATAGTATATATTGTACNAATATAATTTACAAATTGCCTTAGATATTTTTATTACCATTTTTTTTCTCTAACTTGTATAAATTTTAAAAAAATAAATAGAAAGTCTATGTTGGGCCCACTAGGCCCGCTTGGGCCCGCTTAGGCCCGGGACCGTTAGTTTGTGGTCCCGGTCCCAGACTGATTCCAACAAGAAGCCCGCAAAGTTCGGGACGGCTTAGGACCGATCCACTTAGGACCGGACCCGCGAAGCCCACTTAAGACCGGGCCCGGCCCACATGCCACCCCTAGTTTACTCAAATGGGTAGCTGAAAAAGGATGTTACCAAAATGGGTAAATTTGGAGTTTATTTTCAAATGGTCTTCCGTGCTCTCAAATGGTCTCAATTTCCTTAACTAATGAAGTGATAGTAAGCTAGTATTTGGATATAGATTTGGTTAAAACTTGAAAAAAGAGTCTTTAAAGTTATATTGAAAAATATTTTTTGGAAGTTGAATATGTGTTTTAACATAAATTTTATTTGAAAAAAAATTAAGTTTTGTGAGTGTATGAAAAAAATTCACCCAAAACTGCCCTAAACTAATTTTTGGGAATCAAAAACTGATCTTATTTCATGAACAAACAATATTTTCAAAAAAGAAATTGAATAAAAATTGCCTAAATTTATGGCCAAACGGAATCTAAGTTTCCTTCCTAACAACACTTAGAAAATAAAACGAGCATAACAAGAAAATAAGGGGGGAAAGAAGAAACTGAGGCTTGCTTTTGGGGCCTAGACCAATTTGACCAAAAAAAAAAAAAAAAAAAAAAAAAAATCTCAAGAAAGATAAGATCAATAATTAGATGAACATCTGCCTCGAGTTTTTCAAATTGATAACTAAGGGGTTCAAGCATTGTATGAAAATGCAACATCTACACTCACTATAAGATGACACATCGCAAAAACTTTTATTTATATTCGTGTGGAATGAGTTATTGTGCATACGTCATGCAAAAGTAATGCGTGCTTGAGCATACGTCTTGAGTTATTATTTGTTCAAGTTTCGAACAAATAATAGTATGTTTGATCATCATGGTTCTGTTTGAGATTATATTTTCAATAATCCAATCATACAGGCCCTCAGAACGTACAAAGTACGCTGTGTATACAAATAAGTGCTTAAAAGCACATTTTAGGTGTCGGAGTTTGTTTTATAAATAAATAGTTATGTGTTTGGATAAAAAAAGCTTAAGCTGAAAAAGCAGTTGAATTGTTTGGTAAAAAGTACTGTTAAACACTTTTTATTAAAATGACTTAAATATCCTTAAAATTGTTAACATTATAAAGAAGTTGATTACTATA